ATGCCATTTTTCTTCCAATGCTAAAACAATTTAAAAAAATCAAATTTCCTCTTATTATGCTCTTGTGATGGGAGAAAGGCCATGTAAACAAACTAATACTATGATTCATTCATAAATGAAACATTCAAGTTCTTACCAGGTAATACAGGTTCTGCTTGATAGCCTACAATTACCTCATATAGTAATGTACTCTACCAAACCAAGGCCCCGCTTAACTCCCTTCTACAAAAATCTGTATGCAAGCACACAATCCAAAGCTCTTTCTTTCTTGCCCTGTAGTGACTGGTTTAACACTCATTTCATGTAACAAATATTCCTTAAATATCTATTATGGTACTTTATTCTAACGAATGGGGTACAACAATTAACAGAACAAAGTCTCTATCTTCATAAAACCTACATTTTAATTGTGCAAGACATGTGATAAATAACTTGTCAGATGGTGATAAGTGATATGAAGGAAAAAAGAAAGCAAGGAAGAAAATAAGAAGGTTGATTGAGGAGGACATCTCCTGGTCAAGGAAGGCCTCTATATAACATTTAGATGACATCTGAGCAGAAGTCTAAAAGAAAAGAGAAGAAATGAGCCATGCAGGTATCTGGAAGAGAAAATTCTGAACAAACAGTCCTTTGCATATGATCCCTTATATGACCTAGTTTTTTATGTCCAAAAACACTTTTATGAACAAGGAAGATATATTTGAATCAATGTTCTGAAAGAACTGCATTCTCAGAAACAGAATTATTAAAATAAGAATGCACACTAAGCAAAGAGATCCCTTCAGTTAAGGCCAGTAGGCCAGTGGCTCTTTAGCCCTCCAATCGAACAGGGCACCGTGTCTGTCTCTGTGGAAACTGTCTTTTAACTGTCCAAAATGATAACCCTCCACATGTAGCTATTTGAGTTTAAATCAATTAAAATTAACAATTCAGTTCCTCAATCCCACTAACCATATTCCAAGTGTACAATAGCCACATGGGGCTAATGGCTATCATATTGGACAGAACAGATATAGAACATTTCCATTACCACAGAAAGTTGTATTCTGTAGTACAAATTGTAACTTTTCAATAAATCACAAACATTATCCCCACGCTATGCTAACTTCTCTTACCACTTTTCTAGGAAGGAAAATTCTGTCCTTTAGACTTTTAACTAACAACATAAATCATTCAGGCAAAAATCCAAAAATAGATTAGTGATGTACAATATTTTAAGTACTCCTAACTTAGATGTTTTTCTTACAGCTCTAAAGAGAGAAGAGAAAAGAAAGAGGCAGCAGTCACCAACCTAGCAACACCTGACTGCAAGGCAATAGGGTATGTCCAACTTTTCCAAGTGGGCTAAAATCTACAAAGGTATAGATTTTGTTCTACCCTAACAACCTCACTTCTCCTACCCTTCACCTGTATCCTAAGAAAGCGGTGAAAAATTGGTAACGTCTCTCAAACTATTTAGCTAAACCAATAACATCAAGAGTAGGCAAAGCCATAATTTTTTAATGACTTAATTTTTCACAGTTAAAATAGTGTATAATTAAAACAACAAAAAACACAAAAACCACTTATGGCAAAAACAAATATCTCTTCTTTAAAATAAAACTCCTACACAATATATATTACTTTAAACTCATACCCCACCCTTTTGCTAGACAAATTATATACAAGACACATTTTGCAGAAATTTTGACCAATTTATGACAATGTTTTATAGTCAGAAAACAGTACTGTCGGGGGGAGGGGAATGGGCCAAATACATAACAAAATTAAATTTTAGATATCAAGTAGAGTAGAACAAGCCAGGCAAATCCAATACAGAAACTGAAATTTTTTGCAAACTGATGTGTATACCAGGTTTCCTTTGAAAAATTAAAGCAAAAACTGACTTCATTATTTTGAAATTGAAGTGTCAAATTTTTAAAAACACAAACTAATTTCATTTTCTACACAGTTTACTACAAATAAGTATGGTACAACTAACAAAGCAGCAGCTCAAAAATTGAATGCCGCTGAAATGATGTAAGTTACCAAGCTAGCACCATTTGATTACCAGGCATTAGACTATGTCCAACTTTTCCTTTATCAGACTGGGGGGAAAAGGCTTACAGTCAAAAGAGCTAACTGCTATAACAACTGAGGGAGCAGAAGCAATTTTGAAAAACCAAATACTAACTATACTTTTGGTAAGTAATATTTTCTTCATTCCAATGTAAGAGGATAAGAACATCACATCCCCTTTTCTTTCAGTTATTTTCACTTTTCTTCTGCATGCACCTTATTCCAATAAATCCTTTTGCACTTGACGTTAGCACTGAACTTAAATGTTTCGCTCCACCATCACCACCAAAAAAATTGTTTCTGATGCTTAATCAAAAATTGTTATTCTATGAAATAAATTGTGGTACATCCATATCACAGAATTCTAGTCAGCAATAACAAGGAACAAACTACTGATACACCCAACAACTTGGATGAATCTCAAGGGAATTATGTTGCATAAAAAAGGTCAACCCTAAAGAGTCATGTACTTTTTAGTAAACATTCTTGAAATGACAAAACTATAGAAAGAGAGAACAAATTAGTAGTGGTTGCCCAAGTCTGGGAGGTAGAGAGGATGGAAGGGAGGTGGGTGTGGTTCTAATGGACTATTCTATATATCGACTGTTGTGAGAGTTATATAATCTACACAAGATTGCATAGAACTAAATGCACAAATTATTACAAGTAAAATGGAAAAATCTGAATAAGACTGGTAGATTGTACCAATGTTATGATACTGAACTACAGTTTTACAAGGATTAGCATTGGGGAAATTAGGTAATGGATACAAAGCATCTCAACATATTATTTGTTAAAACTACATGTGACCCTATAGTTATCTTAAAATTTAAAAGTTTGATTTTTTAAAAACTACTACCCTACCAATTGGGAGAAACTGAATATGAACTGGTTATTAGACAACATCAGGGAACGATTGATAATGGTATTATGGTTTTATAGAACAATGGTCTTATTCTTAGGAGATGCTTGCTGAAGCATTTAGGAATGAAGTATTATGTCTGCAACTTACTTTTAACTCTTTTCTATGTATGGGAGGAGAGAAAGCAAATCTAGTAAAATATTAAATATTAAATCTAGGTAAAGGGTTTGTGGGGGTGCTCCTTGTACTTTCTTCTCAACTTTTCAGCTTGAATTATTTCAAAATAAGGAATTGGGGAAGATTAAAGACAAACTGCTCATCTAAAATACACACCAATTAATCTTTTAAAAGGTTTAAAAATAAATAAATTGTTCTAGCAAAACTATACTATAGTCCCACCAACTCATCTTAAAACAAAACAAAATGGCAACAAGAATTTCATGGAAACTAGGAGTTACATGGTACTGAATGTAACTTTGATGTTTTTCAACATGAATCGACTAAATCTGTAGATCATATGAATGAATATTTTTGCAAAATCTAAGTTAGTTCAACATGGATTACTCTTTCTTATTTCTAGAAACACTGAATCCCTAGAGTTGTTCTACTTTTCAAACAACTGAAATAAATTTAAATTGCAAGAGAAAAGGCTAACACTTTGATACACGCCTCCCCAAAACGTTAAAAGTCTTTGGTTTGGCAAATACAGTTAATCCTTTCACAAAGAAATGTTTGCATGAAAGGGGCAACCCACACACTAAATGCCAAACAGAAAATGTGCTACAATGTGTTAATTATAGTGCCAAGGCGACAAAACATATTTTACAATGTAAACAGTCCCTTCAAACATCATTACACTTAAGGTACTAAAAAAAAAAAAAAAAGAAAGAAAGAAAAAAGGGGGAAAAGCAGCATGTGTTATTTCTTTGCTGCCATCTGAAACAGCCAAGTTGAGAGCCAATTTATTCAGCCTAATTCATTCCAGATTTCTCAAGGAATAAACAGTGTTCTTGAGAATTCTCAGATGTTTGGCCAATAGAGATCCAGTTGCCCGGGAGAACTAATGTCAAACACGCAGGTACCCCTGAGTCAGGGCACAAGGCCCTGGGGATGGAGGGTGGGCTCAAGACACTCTCTCGGATGCCCCCTAAGGCTCCAGAGCTGAGTGACGTGNAGTGAGTTTGAGTTAGTGTCAAAGGATTCATCTCAAAAGTTCTTATATTTTCTCTGCTGCTAAATTTTTCCATCGGTGTTAATGCTACTTTATAAGAAAATCCTTGTCTAGGACGCCGCAACTAAAAGCTCTTAACTTTTCACTTCCTACCCGGCCGCCCCCATGCAATGCGCTCCACCTCCCGAGGAGAGTGACGGGGTGCGGCTGTTTCCCGCTCAGAAACTAAGAAATAAATGTTCCTTCCCTACTCTAGAAAGGAGGAAAAAAAGAGGGGCCGAGAAGCTGAAGACTCGAATATGCAACTGACTATAAGGGGGTAGTCGTTAAAAAAAGCTTCCTTTTCTCTTCGAAACTCCTTCCCTTCCCTCCTCTCAGGTCACTCAGTGACTCCGGGCCGGGCGGGGACAGGTGAATCCCAAGAGGAGAAGAAGAGGGAGGGACAGACGATGGAGCGAGCCGCGCTCCGGCAATGAATGAGCTGTGCCGCAGCCGCACCACCTGTTCCTTCGAAGGGTACCATCCCGATCTGCCCGCAGGGTTCCCGCACAACCCGCGCCGTGACTCCAGCCCGTATTGCCGGCTTCCCTCCTAAAGGCCGAGCCTCTCCTCCCTTCGCTCGGTGAGGGATATGAAAACCGGCAAACTAGAAGCTGGCAGAACAAGGCCTAGTCCGGGACCACGGCCTCTGAAGCGAAGAGACGGGAGGAGGAAGCCTCAGGTCCCCAGCGCACCGGCCGCAGTGGGAACCAAAAGGAGGGGACGAGAGAGTTCATTCGGCCAGGCTAGAAGTACGAAGGCGGGGTCCCGGGCGAGGGTGGCGCGGTGCCCGTTGGGCCGAGGTTACGGGTGACAGGCCCGTGTACCGGCTGAATCTTTGCCACTGCTTGCCCGTAGCTTCATACTTACCAAGATCCGCTTGAAGAGAGCGTTCTCCTTGGGCGGGAGGCTCACGGCCGGCATCGTTCCGGCTCCTCCCGCTGCTCCCGCCACCGCCCGGCTCCGTCAGTGTGTTTGTCCGACCGCCGCCGCCGTTCCCTGGCTGATTCAGCCTTGATTGCCCCGATCCACTGCTGCGACCAGGCTTCGGGTGTCACCGCGTCGCCCAGCCCCGACACCCCCTTCCCCCTCGTTGTCTTTTTTCCTTTCTCACTTAACGCTGCCGCCGCCTCCCCCCACCCACCACGGGTCTCCGTCGGCGGTTCACGTGGTAACTGAACAGACCGACAGAGGCAGCCAAAATGGCGGACGCGAAGGGCTTTCCCACCCGGGTCACACATCCTAGCACGCAGGCGCGATGACCTCCTTTCCCCACCTCCTCTGTCCTGGGGCTTGCTGGGAAACTTGGAGGCTGGCCGTCAGGCAACAGCTGAGAGCATCTGAGCAGGCCCCGCCCACCTTTTGGATGCTGAGGGTTTCCGCCGCGCTGGGGAGCGAGGACCTGGATGAACTCTGGTCCCGACCGCCTCTGCATTAAAAATAGCCTTCCTGCAGCTAGACAGGCCTTCCATTCATTGGATCGACTCTCCCAGAGTGATCATAGCTTTAAGTACTAAAATGGAGGTGATCGAGAAGCGCTGTGCTTATGGACAAAGTGCTGAACTAAGTAGCGAGAGAAAAAGAAGGCTTCACGCCAGTGGGGACTTGTAAACAGATATGGAGAGGAGGGAGCTTAATGGACTCTAAAAAGCGTGGAAGAGCTTGAGCAATTAAATGGATTTGGCTGCGGTGCTGGTGATTTAGTTTATTCCTTAAGGTGGGCCTGTAAAGACAGTCAGATCCAAAGTGTTACTTTGAACTGCAGAGAAGCATCTGAACGTTCAAGTGTGTGTTTTTATTTCGTGGTTGAGGCCATACAAATGCAGTGTTGACGACTGTCTGAGTCACCTTGAGGTAGTGGAATTAGGGACATTGACTCCCCTTCAAGCTAGTGTGTTACATTGTGACACGTTGAACTCCCCATCTCCAGAAATCCTCAAATCTTAAAAGCCTAAGAATATCTGACAAGGATACTAGAAAACTACTGCAGCAGGCAAGGTCAGACTAGATATCCACTAGGGCCTCTTCCAAATATATGGCATTTCATTAACAATCACAAACTAAGTTTTTGAAGTGGCATTCCATTGATAATCTAGAGTTTTTCATATCATATGAGCCATTTTTACCCTTGATTATTAGTTTTAATCCTCGCCTGAGGATATTTTTTTCCATTGCTTTTCAAAGAGAGTGGGAGGAAGGGAGGGGGAGGGAGAGAGAGATGTAGAGAAACATCCGTGAGAAAGACACATCCACTGGTTGCCTCCTGCAGGCACGCTCCCGGGGAGGTGGGGGGCAGGGAACCAGGGAACCTGCAACCCAGGTAGTGCCCTTGACAGGGAATCAAACCTGTGACCTTTTGTTGTGCTGGCAGATGCTCTAACCACTGAGTCACATTTGCCAGGGGCCCTTGATTATTTTTTATGCTCTCTCTCCAGATCCTGAATTTGATCCATAGCATTTTTTGCATCATGAATCATTAAATAATATGTGCAGTACCATTGCTCTTTTAAATTTATTTACCCGGATATTTTCCTGGTTTCAGTTTCCTCTTCCTTAACCCTCTCTGGAAAGTGTGAGTTAAGTAAGATGTCTCCCAGTGGAAAAATCTGGGACTAATGCTTGGGTTTTCTGCTATTTCAAATGCCCTCTCCTTCTGCCAGGGTCATAAAGTTTCAAATCCTAGAATCTCTCAATTTCTGTGATCTCTCTTCAAAAGTTTCATTAAGAAAACTGTATCTACAGGAAACCATGTTTGAGTTTTGGAATATGGCCAGTTTTTTTTATCTTAACCTTTTTAAAAACATAAAACTAAGGCCAAACTTAGAATTCACAAAAACAGTTGTTAATCTTTAGGTTTAGGGTTTTCTTTAAGATTAGGTTTAAGGTCAGAGTTAGGGTTAGGTTTAGTGTTAGGGTTAGGATTATATTTAGGATTAAAGTTAGGTTTATGGTAAGTAGTATGGGTTGGTTTAGGGTTATAGTAGGGTTAGGTTTAGGATTAGGGTTTGGTTTAGGGTTACAGTTAGACTAATTTTAGAATTAGGGTAAGATTTAGTTATGTTTAGGTTTTGAGTTAGGGTTCAGTTTAGCTTTAGGGTTAGGTTTATGTTTAGGGTTAGGGATCGCTTCATAGCCAGAAGTCCCTATAGCAATATTATTTGCTATGGTTTTCTAAATTTATCCTGTAAATAATATACTTTTTTCCTGTTGGGGGAAGACAATTTATTGTCTTTTGAAACAAACAGTTTCCACCAGAAGCTAAGCACCTAAATAGATGAGCCAGCAATATACTTTGGCAATGTTACATTCTTTTTAGCTGATAACAAATAAATACCAATTTTTAAGATTCAGTGAATACTAGTCTGAGTCAACATTTATCTGAGTCATATCCTAGTTAAAATGAACCTACAGATACAGATAACAGTTGGACCACACAGTCAGTGACTTGATAGCCTGAACTCAACAATAAAATATGTACTCTGATAGATCACCACTATTTGACAGATGGAAATCCCCTTTATGCTGTGAATGAGAGCTATGCATATCCAAGGCTAGATGGTGATGGTGGTGGTGGGTAGTTCATTCGCCTTACCCCAAATATCTGCATGTGACTATTGTCAAAATACCTCTTCCCCCAAAAAATTAACCAAAAGTAAATAAATGAATAAATAATTTATCTTGCAAACTTTAATTCTACAAAAAGAATATGTAGAGTGAAATTTATCCATCTTCACATATGTAAGATGTTCTCTTTTGACACTTTTATGCCTTAATTATTAAGTACTTAAATTTTATAGAAATACGACAGAAAAGAAATCTGTGTATTTGCCACCCAGATTTAACAAATGTTAACATTTTGTGACTACTTCTGATTTTTAAATAAAAACTTGCAGATACATCAGGTGCTCCATCCCTCTCCAGATCCTGAATTTGATGTATAGTATTCTTGTGAATCATAAATAAATAAACATGTATGTAGTGCTTTTACATTTTATACTGTTTCAACTCTTGCTCTTCATGAACCCTCCTTAGAAGGTGTGAGTGGAGTAAGAAGTTTTCCAGCGGGAAAATCAGAGACGAAAAAGTCTGGTTTCCCAGCTGCTATTCAAATCTCCTCTCCCTTTGCCTGGGTCATAAATAAGGTTTTAGCATTCAAATTCTGGAGACACTTAAATGAATGTCATATAGCAACTTCTACCAAAACATCATAGCTATTAGCTCCTGGCTGGAATTGCCTCGCTGAGATTCTTTTCAAGATGTGGTCTCACCTACGGCCGCCTACTTCAAGTGTAGGGTTTCATCAGCTCTAGCAAGCTGTGAGAAATGTGCCTATACTTCATCACTCCCCCAAAATATACACCAGCAAAAGGATGCCAAAAGGGGCCAAAAGAACAAAACAGCCTTTTCCAGTAGCAGTACTGGAACTGGCAATTTGCTTATTGGCTCTGTACACTCTAACTCAGGCTTCTGTTCCAACTTGTTGGATGCTAGCAAAAGCTGTGTCAGGACAAGCTTCCAAGGGATGGTGTAAAAAGGATATACAACTGACAGGTTGCTGAGTGGACAAGAAGAGAAGAAGTTGAGAACCAACAACTGAGTCAGCATATTAGCTGAGTGGTTTGCTTACTTGAGCATGAGTCCAGGAGACTCAAACTAGGTTACAAACTACAAAGTGACTCACAACTTGGCAATCTACGTAGCCATCAATTACACATAAAAGTGAACCAAAAAGCATAATACAATTATTCTACTTTTTAGTTAATTATTTTTGGTTAAAATTTTTTTCAGCAACATAGCTAAAGAAAATATAGAAGGAAGAGATTTGCTAACATTTATTTTGCTTTTAAAACAAACCTAAATGGCATAAGGTTTAAAGAATGAGAGTATTAAAATTTATTATCTCTTTTACCTATACATAGTTTTACAAGGTCTTTACACATCAGACCAAATTGAGAACTGAATGCACAAAAATCTGGTTCAACCGTGAAAGACAAAAACCCACTGATCACTACAGCGCTTTTAACAGGCAAAACCAAGGTGCTTACAAACTCAGTGTCCCAACGACCCTATACATAGGCTTTATGTTACAGATGTAAAACTGAGGCATAGAGAGGTTAAGTAATTTGCCTAAAATTCATGCAGCTAAAAAGGTGTGAGCAGGAATGGGGCTTTGAACTTGGCACTTTGAACCCTGCCCTTCAGCTCAGGGCCTCAGGGGACCGTGCAAGCCTGTCAGGTGGGCTAAGGCGGATCACTAAACCTGGAACCCCAGTACCCCCAACTGTGTGATCCTGAGCTGGTCAGGGGCACTTATTTTAAAATGCGAGGATTCTCTTTTCCTCACAGGTTGTGAGGCTTTCCTATGACAGTGAGAGTAAACAGACTTTAGGAACTGTAAGAGAGCCTTACACACATAGAGCATAATACGTCACCTTGAATGAGTAGCTTGTCTTCTCTGAACTTCTCTGTAAGTTGAAGATGATAGTCGCGACCTGTCTCGCGATCGTCGTGAAGATGAAATGGGACAATGCATGTAAACCACAGGCTGCATTATTGCACAGCGCCTGGAACACAGGAGTCAATCCACATGCTCTCTGTTGTTCAACACGACACTTCGTGCTCAGTTTTCTGGCTCCTGACGGTAGGTTTTGCTAAATCTCTTGACGAGTGTCCCTGGGGAAGGGGTATGATATAGACTCTCGGAGGGCAGAAAAGAGGATAAACTACCTCGTCCCCCCACCCCTACCACACACGCCCGTAATCATTTCCTCCCTGACCCCATTTTACAGACGGGAGACAGCGCAGCGGAGTTAGAGTATCCGGCTCTAACTGCGATTCTCAGTTCAAGTCTCGTGGAGCCCGCGGCGGAGCGGGCGCGTCCCGCGCCTCCTCCCGCCAGGGGGCGCTCGGCCGGGCGCCGACCCCGGAGAGATCCGGCTGGGGAGGCGGAGCCAGGCCCAGCAAGATGGCGCCGCCCGCGATGCTGCGCTCCTTCAGCAGGCTCCTGGCCCCGGCCAGGCTTCCGAACCGCTGTGAGTGTCCCCCCTCGTGCAGGCCCACCGGACCCGACCGCCCAGCCTGCCCTTCCCAGGGTGAACCCGGCTCGCAGGGGCAGGAGCTGTCTGCGGCCCGGGCTCGTCCTGCAGTGACCTTCGCCGGCCTGTGACCAGCAGCCCACGCCCGTCCCCACCCCTGACTCGCGGCCCCCAGTCACCCACCGCCGACCCACCCCCTCCAAGTGCCACCGGACCCCTCGTGGTCTGTGCGAACGGACTTCGGGTTCCTCCTCCCCCATCTCTGCCGGAGGGGAGACCCTCTCCGGGGCGCTTCCTCCCCGCCCACTGCCGAGTCCTCCGAGCGTCAGCAAAAGCCAGTAAACGAGGCTGCGAAGGCGTCTGGGGGGCGGGGGCGCCCGGTCTGGCCCCGCCGGTGGCCCAGGGCGAGTGGCTTGACCTCTCTGAACCTGCTCCCTTGGCTGTTTAAGGAGTGCGTATATGGGCGGGGGAGGGGAGGGGGGTTGAAGGGAGAAATAAATGCGATAGTACGCATGATTTTTCCAACAAGGCGGAAAGTTATAGATTTACAGGCTCTGTCCCCTTTCAGCGTCAGCGCGGTCGAAGTTCTATGTTCGGGAGCCGCTACATGACAAACCTGACTGGCTGAAAGTTGGGTTGACCTTGGGCACTTCCGTCTTCTTGTGGGCCTATGTAAGTCTTTACTCCCTTACGTCGTGGGACCCCAGCACAGTGGGGAGGAGAAACTTCAGTGTCAGGTTGAATGTTGTGAGCAAATCTCCCATGCGGTAGGATAGCTATATAATTGCTGATAACATATTTCTCCGTGAGGGAAATCCCAAGGACTAAAAATACTCAGATTTCAGCGGCATCGAGAAAATATGATGAAGCTGAAATTTCTCTCATTCATTGTTACTTAGCATGGTTTTGTTATGAATGACAGTTTTACTACATATCATCCTTTATTGTATTTCTTAGTGAGGATGGAATCTGGTTGGGGTTTGATTGAAGTCACTTTTTTCAGATGACATAGAGACAAACCATCAATGAACAAGCTGCATAAATTAAATCCCATTAGACTTCTGAAACATAAAAACATAAGATTTTAATCATTGGTTTGTATAAATACATTGTTGAATACTGTACTTAGTGTGTAGCAGCCTTTTTTTTTTTTTTGTCTTTGCAATATGCCAAATGCTTTATATCTAAAAACTCAATCTTCTAAACAGCACTATGTTGTAGGTACTATTATTGTTGACCTTTAATAGATGCAGAAAAGCCTTGGAGAAATTAGTTTGCTGAGCCTCTTCTCCCTAATTTCAGCACTAACGACACTATAGACTGCTCTGAAATACTGCCTCCCTGTAGATAAATTTTTTAAAAGTTGACTCTCAATGTATCTGCGCTACATTAATATTTAAAATTGTTGTTTTGTACCTAAAGGGTTTGGGGCTTCCTCCACTGCCCCCTCTCATTAAAGTGGTTCAGCTCTTTCAAATGGGAAGGAGTAAGAGATGTTGAAAGTCACAACCTAATCATGTTATAATGAAATTTCATACACTCTTTAATTTAAAGTTTTCCTGAAAAGGAGCTTGATTACTGCTGAGAGCTCTGATTAAATTTAAAATCTTTGATTACAGCGAATGTCACCCTGCATCACTCATTATTCCACTTGCATATGTCAGACAGTGGTTCTAAGAAAGCGCCTGTCCTCTGTGACATCCAATTATTACTCATATAGTTAGGCGTGGGGTTGTTCATTCACTCACAGTATCAAATTTCTAAGGTTAGAAGTATAATACCAACCAGCCTGGACCCCATTTAATAACCAAGTCCTGCTTTGTTGTGTTGCTTAGCCTTTCGGTGGGAAGGCATTCCATTAACTACCCATTAAATGAAGTCATTTAGTTGGCAAAAGTTGAATTTAAACTTTTAAAGGTTGCCTTCTCAAATTGAGTACGTCAGATTGTGATGAACAAGCCTATACTTTTCATAGTTTTTGGACTTTTGCATCTCTTAGTCTTTTATTTCTAACTAGAATAGTTGTACTTGTTTTAATCCTTATTCATTTGCAAAATATAAATATTAGTTAGCCTCCTCTTTAATTTACCAGGAAGACTACATTTCTAATTTTAATTGTTACCTCCTTCTAGCTTATCAAGCAACATAATGAAGATGTTTTAGAGTATAAAAGAAGAAATGGGTTGGAATAAACTTTTTAAATACTAATACAGTAAGTATGCAATTTTATAGGATGAATAGATTATGCAAGTTAATTTGAATTCTTTTTAAATAATGTATTTTGGTTGTTTTTTTAAATTAGGTTTATGCTTTTTAGCACCTATATTCCTGTCTGTGACAAATTTATGAATTTTTAATGCCTTGACTTGAGCATCACTTAGCATAATCATTTTTAACCATCATGCTCTGCCTCTATTCAAAGAATATTATATTTAAGAGTGAAACCAAAATCATATTATTTTATTAAATCTAATAGGGCTATACACAGTGTCTTCATAGCACTTATAAGTTATTTGTGTATATATTTCTTAATATCTGTTTGTCATATCCCACACTTGAGTGTAAATTCCAACAGGACCTTTATTAATCATCATGTACTCAGCAACTTGCCAGTGCCTGACCCAACTAGGAGTTTCATATTTGTTGGACAGATGAGTGTATAAGGGCAGTAGATGGTTAAATTTTTTACTGAGTGACCATTTCATTGTGATTCTTAGTACAACTAACACCCAATTGAACAATTCCTGGTAAAACATAGCTGTGAACAAGGTAGCATACTCTATGGTCTGTGATTTAAAAGAGTGAATATATATATACATATGTGTATGTATATATATATGTACATATGTGGCATAATTTTGAAAATCCTTTAAAGAAATTCTGTGTTAATACTTTTGTAAAATAAAAAAAATCACACTTAAAATCTCAACTTTCATAGATCAGGTTGATTAAAGTAAATAACTTATTTCTAAATAAGTAATCACTAATATACACTTTTTCTCCCATATTTAACTCTCAAATCCAGCTCTTCAGGGTTTGATTATCCAAATTTTTTGCCCCCCCCTCTTTTTTTTTTTTTTTAACATTAATATCACCTATTTTTTTTAAACTTGAAATGAGGAGTTGATATTCTTTGTGGATTTATTTTCTAGACTTTCCTTAATGCTCTAAAATGAATTATTCGGAATGGTCTAATTTTAATATTTCTGCTGGTTAATGCTATAGTTTTAATTTTTTTCCCTCTTCATTACAGGTACTCCACATGTAGCGATGAAAGCAGTTCCAATCTGTTGAGTTGTAAATGTGAGAGAAAAGTTATATGTGAATATATGTCGTCAGCATTTGTGTTTTGCATCATTAAATGAAAAAATAAAAATACATCTGTATTCTTCAGATTGTGTAGATTGTGACAATGTGTAGAAAATGTCGATTCTAAGATATATTGTTAAAAGTATTTCAGTGTGGAGGATACCATCTGATAACAGGGTCAGTGGTAATTAAGGGCCATTGGTAAGAAAACTTAAGGAGGGTAGATTAAAAAGTCACTGCTGAAGGATTTATTCCATCTATTAACTTTTAATTTCTAACCAAAACACTTATTCTTTAGTGTATCAGGGTGATAGAACTACTTTATTACTCAAAATACAAAAGAGCACACTCATTTCTTCTAGAGGAGTCATTTTGGTTAAGTCAGAAAGTAAAATTGAATCCTGTTATCAGAGTTTCTTCTCACACCATTTCTTTGAATTTAAATGGTTTGAATTTGAATGAATCAGTTGGATGACTGGTTATGTCAACACGAAGCTTGTTATCCCTTTTCTGTTAATATTACTTTTATCCAGTGATTAGCAAACTCCTGACTGTTTCAAAAAGGAGGGAGGAGAGGAAAGGTTAAGAGACACAAATTAAAATACACTTCACTTATTCCTCATCAAAACCCTTTCTTGTGAATCAATTAAAACTTATTTATATGCCACTTCGTTAACTTGTAATTTAAACACTTAGTGTACCATACATTTAAAAATGTATTATTTGTGTCTCCATTCTCATGTTAAGTGGAAAGGTTTATTGCCTTATAATTGGCTTTATGTGTGTTTTGGGCTCTAGCCAACACTTATTGTGGGAGATTCATGACAATATCTTGGGAAGTCACTTCTGAATATAAATTAAGAGTTAAATTATTTCGAAATAATTATTGAATCCAAATTCGGTGAAAGACCAGATATAGCAGTAACTGTTAACTTTTGTCAATTTGGAGTCCTAGGTGATAGAGCTGAAAGGACCTTAGGGGTCATGTAGACCAAGCTCATAATTTTACAGATGCAAAACCAGCAGTGAAGAGTGACTTGCCCAACATCACTGTGGTAAGTAGAATAATGGACCCCCAAAGATAACCATGTTCTACTCCCTGGAATCTGTGTACATGTTAGGTTACATGGGAAAGGGGAATTAAGGTTGTAGATGGAATTAAGTTTGCTAATCAGCTGGAATTGAGATGGGGAGATTATCCTGGATTAGCTGGCTAGGCCTATTGTAATTGCAAGAGTCCTTATAAGTGGAAGAGGGATGCACAAGTGTGTGTGAGAGAGAAGAGATGTGAGAAAGACTCAACTGGCCATTGCTACCTTCAAAGATGGAAGAGGGCCAAGAGCCAAGGAATGGAAAAGACAAAAGAGTAACACAACCCTGTTGTCACCTTGATTTTAGCCCACTGAGACCTGTGTCTTATTTCTCACCTACAAAACTATAAGACAATAAATCTTTTGTGTTTTAAACCACTAAGTTTGTTATAGCAGCAGTAGGAAACTACTATTGTCACATGGCAGTAGAGACGAAGAGGTCAGATATCAACTCCCAATTCAAGACACTTTCCACTAAAACACTTAAAAATTCATATTCCTGAAGGGAACAGAAAACTATAAGACACTTGAAATTTTGGAAACTGATAGCCTTAGTTGGAAATAAAATGTAAGTTCAATAAACAATATCTACTGTATGTCTGGGCTTGAGAATAGTTACTTTGTGTAGACTTCCATCTTCATTGTGCCTGTATAACTCCAGGGGGAGCCATTCATGAAGAACGGGGCTGTCCATAGTGATGGAAACATCCTGTCTGCTGTCCAGTACAGCAGCCACTACTCGCATGTGGCTACTGAGCATTTGGAATGTGATTAATGCGACCGAATTTTTCATATTTAACTTCAGTTAATTTGAGTAGCCACAAGGAGCTGGTGGCTCCTGTATTAGCACGGATGTAGATTATGCTATGAGTAAACACCTAGAGTTGTGCTATAAGTGATGCTGAAAAGAAAAAATTCTAAAATATTGAAACCTAATCAAACTATGTTAAGTTGGAAGAAGGTTATAAGAATATAGGATGACTTACCCCAAGAATAGGAATACTCCTGGGATCAGAAATAATTGGGGCCTGGGAATCAAATATGATCAAGACTTCTGCTCTTGGCTTTGGTGCGTGTGTATCCGCTTTACAGCCTCTGCCAGTAGACCTCTTCCTTGATCTACAGTGTAAAGAGATGGCCACAGTCAATAGTTCCTGGGTTTACATTTCAGTTCAAGGGAGTCACTGGACTGAACAAGAATTCTGATTCTAAATTCCCAAGAGGAACTGTGGTCAAATGATGGTTCCTCAATAAATAATGTGAAAGACTTTTCATGAAAAAGACGATGCAGACAAAATGTAGTTGTATGTCAAATACAGTCAAGTTTTTTATTAGGTCAAAATCAGGTAGACATTTTTTTCAGATTTAGTGTCTTTGAGGTAGTCATTTAAATCATTTTAAGTTGCCATGGGAAAAACAGGCAATGTAAACTCAATTCCAAGTATAAGAAGTTGTTATGGGTTGAATTGTCCCCCACTCCCCCCCCCAAAAAAAAAGATATGCTGAATTCCTAATCCCCAGTATCTCAGAACTAGGGAAGTAGGGTCATTGCAGATGTAGTTACTTAAGGTGAGTTCATACTGGAGTGGGGTGGGCCCTTAATCTAATATGACTGGTGTGTTTATAAGAAAAGACAAGCACATAGGGAGAAGACAACCATGTAATAATGGAGGCAGAACTTGAAGTGATGCATCTACAAGCCAAGGATTACCAGCTAACATCAGAGACTAGAAGAGGCAAGGAAGGATTCTCCCATACAAGTTTCAGAGGGGGTGTGGCCCCGCCAACACCTTGATCTCAGACTTATAGCCTCTAGAATTGTGAGAGAATAAGTTTCAGTTTTAAGCCATCCAAGTCTGTAGTAATATGTTACGGTAGCCTTAGGAAAATAATACAGAAGTGTTTGGAATATCATGTTTATTTTGCTACAGAAGAGAAACTGAGTAGATGGGGGAGTGGGGAAAGTACTGAGTGACCTCCAAGAATAGTTTTAGAATTTAACATCTTGATTACCTTTTTCCCTTCATTTTATTTAAATATTTTAGGCCATCAAGAGGGTGCTTATTAGGGCTTTCTAAATTGCTTGCTAATTTGTCTTCCTAGATGCTCTTCTAAATTGTTTCACTTTATAACCATATTGACCTGTTGAAAGCACAGGTCATAACCTAAAAATTTAGTGCTAAGAAAAACAAAGCTGTTTCTATCTGTGGAGTTTAGGAAATTACTTGATTAAAAGAAAATAGCTTTTAATTATATAGCACTTAAGCCTTGAATAAGTATGATTAATAGTGCCAGTAGAGGATCTCACAATATGTTTTCAAAACTAGTATCTTTGTCAACAGAAAAACAAGAATCTAGGGTCAGAGATTAGGTGGAGGTCATCTTAGATAAGCCAAGTAATCTCTGACCCTAGATTCTTGTTTTTCCAAAAAGACCAGGAAAAATGTCAAGGATGTTCTCAAAGGCAGCACTGTAAACAGTGTGACTAACAGCTGGGAAACCATGGCCCAAGCCTCACAGAGTCTTCTACAGGAAAGACCTAATGTTAAAATTCTCACGGGTTTGGGAGAAACAGCTTGCCACAGAGTGAATCTGACAACCCACAAGCATGTCCTCTCTTGAAAAATGTTTGAAAATGTGGAAAGAGTTCACCACCAAACTGGAAAGTCACATATCCTCCAGGAGCAGTAGAGTAGGTAGAAAATTCCCTTCCATCCACGAGGCATGAGCTTTTAGCTAAGGTGAAAAGGGACCTGGAGAAGTGACACTATTTCTCTCACAGTTTTTGCCTTTCCCAGCAGGGATGACCACATCTAATCTAGAGGATACAATAAGCCCCCTACTGGACTTTACCATCTATCAGATAAGTGGTGGAACACAACGGATCCTGTCGTGTGTACACTGAAAGGCAGCAGGACAAGTAAGGGAAACTTGAGCTTTGCTTACCCAGGAAGTAGAATCTAGCACTGCCTCTTCCAACTAGCTGAGCATGTTTCACACCTAATGTGCTTCAGAGCTCACAACAACCCTGTGAATAAAGGAATTATCCACATTTTACTCAGACCAATGAATCAGTCCTGGTATCTGACTCCCAAATTCATGCTCTTAACCACACTATTATGCTACCTTGATTTTTTTCATATGTAACAGTGATAATCAACATTCCCCCACCTACTCTTTAGGAGTGTTAAGAGGATGAACTACAAAAATAGGTGTGACAATACTTTGGGGAAAGTTTTAAAAGCCCTATGTAATATGTGTGTTACTTTTGCATTGTTTAAACCAGTTTGGTTGTAACCAAAGACCTTAGATTACATTTATGATTGGTATCTGGCCAGAGATTTCTTACGATCATTGACCCCATTGATGGTGGGACTTGGTTCAGTGTCTCTTTAACCTGATATTTTAACCTCTGTGAGTGATGGCAGAAATCATATCTTGTACATTAAAGAATGCCCTGGAACAATGTCTAACACTTTATCCCCAATAAATGTTTGTGAAATAAATTATAACCAATCCCCAGCATCTAGCACGGTCCCTAGCATATTGTAGGCATTTTGACAGATACTCACAGTTTGATGGAACCTGGGGATGATCCAGAAGACCTCAGACTATATGCAGACCCAGACTCTACACTGAGTTCTGAAGGGGAACCTAAAATAGTGTCCTGGAGCGGTTGTCATTCACAAATATTCACTCAGAAAGAATTAGTTTTAGGGAGGCTTCCAACACATTAAATACCTATAATGCATGCAGTATAAATGCATTTACTGCCTTTGACTCTTCCTCTCATTGGCAATCAAATAAAAATTTGATTGAACTGTAGTAGTAGATAGATTTGTTTTATTTTTAGATTTTAAATCAGGTCCCTACAAACTCAGGTGGTTAGAAGTGCTCTGGACAGATTTGGTTTTATTTGGTCGATCTGTCCTAGCTGCAAACAGTTCATTAAACATTCTACATCACCAGTGAAATAGCTAATGGCTAGTTGCAGGAGGATGTGTACCTGATGCTGGTCAAAGGTAGCAAGAGTACTAACCTTTATTTTGTTACTTCCAGGACTACCTAACTTACTGGTGGAGGGTCTGGGGTCTAGCCCCGTCTTGTGCTACTGGAAGTCTAAATTTGACCTCTCCTTAATCATAGATTACCTAACTGTTCGTGTTAAGTGTTTGGTCCCTAGGATAGCTAGCTACAGTGAGTATCAAAAAACTCAGTTCTGACCACTGGTTTGTACTCTTCAAATGAGAATATGTTAAATATTATTAGAACTGTGTTCAGAACTAGAATCTCCAAAGAATGTTTAGTTATCAAGTAGCAAATGAACAAATATTTTGTCTGCAACATACCTTAGAGAAGTTGGAATTAGAAAAACGATATTCATGTCCTTTTTGTTTGTTTAAATGACTGTTAGCCCCTAGACATTCCCCCCCACCCTGTCATTTGCTGAAGGTAATAATTGCCACCTCCCTCAGAGGGTTGAAATGAGAACTAAAGGAGATAATATGTGAAAGTGCTTTATAAACTGTCAAGTACCAAACACACATAAGGGATTATAGTGGGACATGGTCCCTACCAAAGATTAATCATTTAACAAGATAGATCCAGAGACATAGAAACATGGAACAGACTGAGGAATCTCAGAGGGAAGGTGGGGGTGGGAGGATGGGAAGAGATTAACCAAAGAATTTACAGGCATATATGCATAACCCAGGGACACAGACAATAGTGTGGTGAGGGCCTGGGGGCGGGTGTAGAAGGGGTCAATGGGGAAAAAAGGGGACAGAATCCTTTCAACAATAAAGATAAATTTTAAAAAAGATTGCTCATTTAGAAAATGTTATAGAGGATTGTTTTTCATATTCAAACTCTAACAAATTGTTGTAGCCGCTATGAGTCAAGTGATTGAAATCTGGGGGAAGAAACTAGTAATATAGCATTTTTAGCTGGTGTGGAAAATGCTAGTTGCACATCTCATAGAGGAATATACAGCATTGGGGAGGGGGCCTATTTAAAGTCATTGTGGGCCTGGGGGGTAGCTCAGTTGGTTAGAGCGCTGTCCCCTTTCTCCAAGGCTGTGGCTCCATCCCCAGTCAGGGCATGTACAAGAATCAACCTAGGAATACATCCATAAGTGGAGCAAGCTGGTATTCCTCTCTCGCTCTCACCAATAAGTTACAATAAATAAAGTCATTGTAACAGTGAATTACCTAGAGAGCCAGCCATTGCCTGGAGATTAAACGGTTCTGAACACCACCCAGTGCACTAGGCTAGGGCTACCCCTCTCCCCGCTCCCTTTCCACTCCTAGGAGAGCTAAGAGAGTGCGTGAGATAAAGTGGGTTCATACTTCATCCGGCCTCGTAACCAAAGCGTGCGTCTTACTCCGGATGCGAGCCCCGAAATACTTCCAACCTTCGCTAACAAATTCCACTTAGCGCAACAGTACCGCAGGCAGGTGACAGCGACTTCTCGGTCCCTTGTCCTTTTTCTGAGATGCCTCCATCAGCTTCCTGGACTTCGAAGAAAGCAGCAGAGTCTGGAGACTGGGGTGAGGGAGGACGGTGGGTGCGATTCACCCCTGCCCTCCCCGGCGGCCTCCC